GTTTGCATATAACTTCATCTTCTGCCTAACAAGCAAAAACAATATTTTATTGTGTCACTCCATCTAAATATGATGTTCATTCATGCATTCCTAATTGGATCCAAATTTCCTCAAGACTCTTGTTATATATGTTGTTAGTCTAATGTAGCTTAATCATTGTAGACATAAATGAATACAAAGGCAATCCAGTCTTTGTTCTTTGTTTGTGCATTCGCATTTATATGTTACAGCCCACATGAATGGATGCTTACACTGAATTTAGGCCTCCAGTTGCCTGTGGGTTAAGCTTTTTGTTGTGTGCCAATCTGCCATATTTGTATTAGCTTATTTATTTTTGTTTATACCCGGAGATTTGCATAAAGTTTTGGGTTTGCACATAATTCTACAGGGCACTCACTATGCATAAACTGCAGTATGCAAGCTCTTGAACTAGTGTTATTCTGTTCTTTGCAATGCTGATCTTTAGTTTGGTGAAGAGCCATGTCCATATATAAGTTAGTCTTTTAATAGTCAGTATCAATACTGTCATTTGTTTGGTAGTAATTGAAGGTTTTTGTTTGAGTCTCACACACACACAGTCACATGTGTTAGAAAGGACAAAACTATATTGTGTGTGTTTTTCTGAAAATTATGGGCCTCAGATTGCCTTTGGTTGATGGTGTTGCTTTTGAAGATCTCCTGGTCCATCCAGATTATTTATATACGGTCAGGATTTTTTTTTTATATAAATTTGTACTGATACTGGTTGGTGAGATGAGATCTATTTATGCAGATTGATTAAATATTATGACTATTTTTTAATTATTTGTAATTTTACACTCGCCGTGCTGGTTTGGACTCCATGTGGTTTCAGCACACGAGTCAAAGATCTTTCAGACAAAGTGATTGAGTTAATATGATTTAACATTCAATTATTCCCCAATGCTTATTTAAGGTTTAATTTTGAAGGCTGCTAGTTGTGTTTATCAGTCCATCAGTCAAAGATTTCATAATACTTTTCTAAACAAACAAATATCACGCGTGACTTCAATATGTCCCTTATTGTACATTACTTTTTTGGCTCCACTATAGTCCATCTTGTTGGCATCTTAAAATATATATAAAATGAAAAAAAAAAAATATGAGTTGCTGCTAGTCTGATTCTTGTTTTAGGGTATCTTCTTTACTTTATGCCTTATTCTGATTATATGCTCACATGTCAATGACAGCTATATGGTACATTTTTTGTAGGGTCGTTGAGCAAGAATGGGCGCCGGTGGCAGAATGTCGGTCCCCCCCACGAGCAAGGCCCCACGGTCCTCCGAGCCCCTCAAGCGGGTCCCACACTCGAAGCCCCCATTCACAGTTGGTGACCTCAAGAAGGCCATTCCCCCACACTGCTTCAAGCGCTCGATCCCTCGTTCATTCTCCTACGTGGCCCTCGATTTCGCCATAGCTACAATCCTCTACTACCTCGCCACCGCTTACATCAGCATCCTCCCGAACCCCCTCCCTTACCTCGCGTGGCCTGCCTACTGGTTCATTCAGGGCTGCGTCCTAACAGGCGTGTGGGTCATTGCACACGAGTGTGGCCACCACGCCTTCAGCGATCACCAGTGGCTAGATGACTCGGTTGGGCTCGTCCTCCACTCGGCCCTCCTCGTACCCTACTTCTCGTGGAAGTACAGTCACCGCCGCCACCACTCAAACACGGGGTCCCTCGACCGGGACGAGGTTTTCGTCCCAAAAACCAAGGCCCAAATCCGGTGGTTCGCCAGATACATAAACAATCCAGTGGGCCGCACTCTCACTCTAGTCGTCCAGTTCACACTCGGCTGGCCGCTCTACCTCATGTTCAACGTCTCGGGCCGGCACTACGAACGGTTCGCGTGCCACTTTGACCCGAAAAGCCCGATCTACTCCGACCGTGAACGGGCCCAGATTTTGGTCTCGGATGTGGGAGTCCTTGCAGTCTGCTACGGGCTCTACCGGCTTGTGGCCGAAAATGGGCCCGCGTGGGTCTTTGCAGTGTACGGAGGCCCGTTGCTTGTGGTAAACGGGTTTCTTGTTCTGATCACGTATTTGCAGCACACGCACGCATCTTTGCCGCACTACGACTCGTCTGAGTGGGATTGGCTGCGTGGGGCCCTCGCCACGGTGGATAGGGATTACGGGGTATTGAACAAGGTTTTCCATAACATAACCGACACACACGTGGCCCATCATCTGTTCTCGACAATGCCACACTACAATGCAATGGAGGCCACAAAGGCGATTAAGCCGATTTTGGGGAGTTATTACCAGTTTGACGGGACGCCGGTTTACAAGGCGGTATGGAGGGAGGCGAAGGAATGCGTGTATGTGGAACCGGATGAGGGTGAGAAGAACAAGGGTGTGTTTTGGTACAAGAACAAGCTTTAGTTTGTTGTTGTGGGTCTTTTGAGATTTAGGAGTGGGCCTTTTGATCTGCAGTTGATCTTTATTAGACTAGGCTTTTGTGCTGGTGTGTTTGTGAGACCTATGTTAGATCAACTAGACTTCTTTGTCTTTGGTTTCTGCTTGTGTTCCTCAGACCTTTGTTGTTTCTGAGTTATGTCTATGTTGAATAAAAGATTATTTAGGCCCTCATTGTTTATAGATATATATATTTTTTTCTAATTCAAAATATAATTTAAATTTAACTCAACAAACCTCTTATTAATATTATATTAACACTAGATTAATTTTAATTCACTGTGAATAATACATTAATTTTAATTCACTATTCATTTATTTACGTATTTTTAATTATTCATCATTTTAATCACATATTTTCTATTTTTACATCAAATAAACTTTATTCATTTATAATTACTGCGTTCATTTATGATTTTGATAAATATTGCTTACTCTCCAACATATATCATTAGAATAAAAGTGGAATAAAAATTTGGATGTAAATTGGTTTATAAATGAATGTCTTCATCCTTCTAATTATACATATATGTAAATGTGTCAACCAACTTCTAAATGAATATTATATTATTGTTAATGCATATTTAGAGTGCTCATTTAAAAGGGATATACTACGATTTTTTTTTTTTTTTTTCCCTCAACTTAAAAATATTTTTGTTTGCTAAATAATCACCAATATTTAAATAGCATGCATGAAGTTGGCCTCATTCAAAATTCGTGGAATTTCAATATATTTATATAGTTTATAAACAACTTGATGCTAAAACTCATTACCCAATGTTGATGTATGAAAAATGTCGCCAACATAAAACAAACAAACTGTACACTAAGTTATGTATTATGTTCGATCTGCACGAATAAAACAGATCAGGAAATATGGACCGAATAGAACGAAAATATGGACCGAATAGATATTCTATTCGTGACTTTCGGATCGATTTCATTTAAGAGAGGAATATTCTCTTACATTAAATATTGTTTCTTCTTCATTCTATAGGAAAATTGAGGTCTTGTTCTAATCCTCGTTTTGAATTTTTATTTACATTTTCATTTAAGAGATATTCCTGAAGATTATAGCAAATCAACATTAAATACCTTGTTTACTAATCTTAATCTCGAGACGGGTGATGTTCCCATCTCGCGACACGTATCTAAGTGAATTCTGCACCGTGGGATGATGAACTCCCATATCCCATCATCATTGATGAGTATAGTACGGATAATCTAAGTCCATGTTTGTTTGGTGGGATGAGATTGGAGAAAAATAATCCAAACCTGTGGAATTATCCTAATCCCACCAAGAAGAGAGGATGGATTTATCCCACTGTCATGGGATAAAAACAATTTTAATCCCGGGCCAAGCAATCTATCCAAGGCCTGATTCTAACAACTAAATACGGAATTAAGGCACGATAAGTCGGGATATCTTGCCTTATCCTAGAAAGCAAACATAGTGTAAGGGAATTATTGGCACCAAACGGACATCCATTGGTGAACGTTCGTCCGAACCTACCATAGTGACTCACATTCGTCCCGCGGGTTCGGCTCGTTTCTCCTTTCCAATCCCTAATAAGTACGAATACGGATAGACTGTTCCCTGTTTAGTCCGTATTTTAGCTGTTCGGATAATATCCCGTACACCCAACTTTTCATTCTGAGAATTATTATCTTATAAATAGTTTTTATGTAAACTAATATGTAATTACGCTTAAAACTAATTTACTTTTGTACGCATCTATATTGTTATTTTCTGAGTCAACCAAATATTTATAATATTAAAATGTTTTCTTATTATGGTCTAGAAGACCTTCGCCGGCGAACCCGCTGGCCGCTTTTCAACGGTAAACGGAGAAAAAAAAGAAAAAAAAAAAGGAAAACAAGAAAAGCCTCAAGCTTTTGAATCTCCATATCCTTTAATCTTCTATTAGCATTCAATCAGTTCAGTCAGCTACAAAAGAACACCCTAGCTCAGCCGTGGCGAGAAGAAAACGCCGGCAGAAATAATTATCCGCAGCCACTTTCGAAGACGCCTTTATCCCATCAGGTTCATTCTAATCTCCTCTCTTTCCATGGTTAATGGTGATAGAAAATGGTTAATTCTCCCATTATCTTTTCATTTTGGAGCTCTAAATTATTTCCAGCATTTGGTCATGGGAATTTGAAAATCTCTGTGAGTAATTTGTTATCTTTTTTCTCATATGTTGGATTGAACCCGTGTGCATAAAAATCCGATCTTGAGCCTCTTTCTTAACTACCGCAGATTAGGTCTATGAAGATTCTTTAAGATGTTAAGTCGTTAACTATGTGCTCCTCTGAATAAACGTGTGATTCTTTTTTCTTATACAGAAAATGATCAAACATCATATGGTTAATGGTAAGATGAAGATCATGATGAATTCAGTCACTTTGGAATAACAGCATCACGGCAAGCCACGGGCGTGGCTATGTCTCGTACGAAATACCACTACAATCGCCTTCTCTCACTACTCCACAAACACCGAAATTGCACTCGGGCCATCCAACAAATCCATTCTCACTTGCTAGTCCTCAACACCGAACATTTTCGCATGCTTGCTCTTTGGAATTCGATTCTAAAGCACTATTCACTCGGTGCATCCCCACAAGACTCCATCTTTCTCTTCAAATTTCTGAGGAGTCTATCTAATACCATGTCCTTTGACAGCTTCACCTACTCGTACCTTATAAAAGCCTGTGCTAATATGAAATGGCCCGGTGCAGGGAACGGGCTTCACTGTCTGAGCACGAAAGCTGGGTTTGGGTGTCATGTTCACGTGCAGACTGCATTGGTGAACATGTATGTGGATTGTGGGTGTTTGGTTGATGCACAAAACGTGTTTGAAAAAATGCCCAAGAAGAATCTGGTGACGTGGAATGTTCTGATCACGGGATTTATCAAGTGGGGCGAGATTGAATTCGCGAGGGCCATTTTTGAAGTGATGCCGGAAAAGAACGTGATTTCATGGACCGGACTAATTGATGGGTATACTCGTATGAATAGATTTGACGAGGCCTTGTTTTCATTCCGTCAAATGGCTGTTCATGAAGGGATTAAGCCTACAGAAGTCACCCTTCTTGCAATTTTCCCATCCATATGGAATACAGGGTGTCTCTTGTTCTGCCAAGTTGTTCATGCTTACGGGGAGAAAAGCGGACTCAATAGCATGGATATTCGTGTTATGAACTGTTTAGTCGATGCATACGCTCGATGTGGGAGTATAGAAAGTGCTTTTAGAGTATTCGAGGACATTGATGATATGAGAAAGAATTTAGTTTCTTGGACTTCAATTATATCCGGATTCGCCATGCACGGGATGGCTGTAGAAGCTTCCGGATTTTATGAAAAAATGGAAAATAAAGGTTTGAAGCCGAACGAAATTACCTTTCTTAGTATGCTGAGTGCCTGCAGCCATGGCGGCCTTGTGGAGGAAGGGCTTGATTTTTACGGAAAGATGGTCGATTTTTATAGGATTTCACCGGGGATTAAGCATTACGGGACTTTGATCGACATGTTGGGAAGGGCCGGGAGATTGGAGGAGGCCGAGAGAATAGCTCTCAGCATACCTAATGAAATTGGTAATAATAACGCTGTGGTGTGGAGAACGCTCTTAGGTGCGTGTAGCTTTCACGGTGATGTTGAGAGAGGAGAGAGAGTGACGAGGAGAATCGTGGAGATGGAGAGAGAATATGGAGGTGACTATGTGCTAATGTCCAATATATTTTGTGGTGCGGGTAGGTTTGAAGACTCGGAGAGAGTACGGAGGTTAATGGATGAACAAAATGCTTTGAAAGTTCGGGGCATCGTTACGTTGGTGTAAAACCTTGGATAATCGTGATTCTAATGTGTTTCGTGTTTGTTAGGCTTCGACTTCAGACGCCAAACATGTATCGCCGAAAAGCAATGCAAGTTGAACAAGTACTTAGCTAGTTTTCTTTCTTTTTTTTTTTTTTTCCTTACAATTAACCTTATGATTTGTCATAAGCTTTAGATTTTTTGTAGTTAAATATAGTAAATGAAATGCTTAGATTAGCTGCAGCATGCAATTCAAGTTGTGGGCTTCCTGCTGTGGCTTCTTGGTCTGTTTTAAGCTATTTTTTACTGTACAATGCAAAAGAGTAAAGTAGTTTGAGTTTGGTGGGGGCCACAGTTGAAATGGTCAAACACAAACGGGGTGACCCTGAACCACCACTTGTACAGATGGGGCCATAGAGGGACATAGTGTGGGCCGGCCCAGGCAGCACACGAGGCTCGTGTCTTGAATGTCGTCACACACGGAATCTCTATTATAATGGGCCTTTTACGGATGATCTGACTGACACCCATCCACGTGCAGATCGACGGTTGTGATACGCGTCAGAATATCTGTATTATGTAAAACTCTGTAACATAAATTTTTGAATCATGTTGATGTTGTGCCATTGTGCGTTTCAACAAACAAAACGAGAAGAATTATATATATATTGCCGGCTGCATATATGTAACATTACTAAGTAACTTATAGTCATGCTTTCCGTGCACCTTTTTTTTTATTCCTTAAATAATAGCATTCAAAATTATCTGAGTTCTTTAATGTTTTTAAAACTAGTGTATGGGCTTGATTTATTTGTTTATTAACAAACTAAATAATTAGATATTTTTGTTGCTATATACTAAGTTGCTTCATGTTTCATGTCCAATTACAAGAGAAAAAATAGAAGAGCAATATTTCTATAATATTATATAGATATATAAATAGATGAATAATTGAATATATATATATATGTGTGTGTGTGTGTGTGTGTGTGTGTGAATGAGTAGAGCTCGAGCTCTTGATACTCAAATTTGAGTTTGTTGACAAAATGATGTAGAGGATGTATACAGAATGGAATACAAACACAATAATAGTTTATGTTTTCTTCAAAATGATAATACGATGATCTCTTTATCTGTTCACTGGGTAGGTACATATAAGAAGTGCCCACCACTCTTCAATTTCTTCCAATAAAAGTCTTATTATTTAATTAACTACCCCCACTAATAGAAATATCATAACTTAAAATTATAATAACTACCAAACTGACAAATGATAAAGATCGGGAAAATAAATAATCTAAACTCGAAGACGGTCATATTTCTGTAGAAACGCCAACGCGGTCTTGTCTCCATCATCCTCCCTGGGTTGAGAAGGATTCCCCCTCGAATCCGAATGGCCCTCATCTTCGTCTGAGTTGTCGCCCACGAACGACACCAAATGCTTGACGTTAAAAACGTCCGATGTGCGAATATGCGACGGGAGCCTGAGACGGTGGGCGTTGGGATTGATCTTTTCCACAACCTCAATCGGACCAATTTTTGGGGCAGACAGTTTATTATAGTCATGGGTAGAAAATATGTCCTTCGTCAAAAGATCACCTACCTCGAACTCCACGTGGCAACGACGAGTATCAGCCTGCTTCTTATAAGAAGCCGTAACCGTCTCCAAATGGGCCCAAGATGCCGGATGTGTCTGCTGCACATCGACGATGAACTCCGACGCTGCCTCGTCTCCATCATAAAACATGTTGATAAATGAACCTGAACTCAGCTCGTTTATCAATAGTTCATCAAGAGATGATTAATTTGATATATTATTATGCGAAATTGATAAAAAAATACAAAAGTTATTAACTTTTAAAATACATTTTGCAATTCAATGGTTATAATAAAAAATTATATTAAAATACAATTAATACATGTAACATGACCATAAATAATCAACATATTTATGGATAATCCAGACTTAATTATGTTTGGATTGGAAGTAAATTTAAATCTATCCAAGCGTAATAATGAAGCATGTAATTTTGCCACATAAGATCCCGAAACATGCGAACCTGCCACTTAGGCTCAGCACGTTCTGAATTAATATACAGGGGAAATTACAATTAATTATCTATACAAAGAATTATAATTAATCACTTGGGTGACATATTAACATGCCACCTGCATAAATCTAGAAATAGATAATTACAGATAGAATAAGAGTAAACAATTTGTTGTATAGAATTTTATATGGATAGGAGGAAAAAAATATAAGGGGCATCTTATCATTTCATACAAATCAAATTAAAAACCACCCCAATTGCCCCTGAAATTCAGTATAGAGGTTGAGGTATAACTTCAATAATAATAATGTCTCCTCTCAACCCATCAATCAAAGAAAAGAACGAATATCCAACTAAAAAAAATTGTTAATGACAGCATATATTATTCCATTATATATTCAACTAGGAAAACAATTACTTATTAAACATTCAAGTTGGTAACTAATAACCAACTTCTTCAACAAAAAATTGTAACCAAATAAATTCCATTACAAATTACCTCTGTTTTTTTTTTATATTTATTATTATCCATTTTTTTCACTTCAAAAGATAGCTACCAAAATCAATTTATGAACCCACCGTGTGATTTGAGTACGAAACTCTTGATACGCATGGATACATAGAATATTTGATTTATATATGCTATATATGTGAAATTGGGGGACCATTTTTTTTTGTTCGAGTGTTTTTATACTTTATTGACTCTCTCATTCATCCAATATATATTATGTCATAGTTGGGTTCATACAATACTTGCCTACAACATATAGACAACATTATTTAATTTAATATTATATACAAATTTTCTCCATATTGTTCTTCAATGATTGAGCATACAATTTCATCCTTTCACATTTGTATTTATATATAAATAGACACCCAAATACATACATACAACATATAACCTTCTATTTTCCAAACTATCACACCAACCCTCAAAAAAAGTTTCCCTTTCATCTTCTTTCAAAATACAAACACACACATCATGACAATGGAAAAATTCATAGAAAATCAAATTTGCTCCTCCAAATTAGCAACCCCACCATCATCAATACTATCCATGCACAAGAACTCACAAACTATATCCAAATCGAAGCCGAAAATCCGGATAATTCACATCTTCGCGCCCGAGATCATCAAAACGGACGCGGAAAATTTTAGAGAGCTCGTGCAAAGGCTCACCGGGAAGCCAACGGACGGCGATCAAAGCAAGAGGGCGATGAAGAGAAGTTCGCGAAGAAACGAGCAGAAAAAATTCGGCTCAACCAAGAAGGAATTGCATGAAGAATTTAGAGAGAGGATAAAGGGAGAAGAGGAGATTTGGAGGGTTGCAAATTCAGGAGGAGGATTTTTGGGTGGTTTTGGGGATCAGTTGGAGTATGGATTCATGCATGAGCTTAACCAGTTTCCATTTTTGGAAGGTACAACTCAAATGGATGCCTATGGAGAGACAGTTCAATCTGCTCAATAATTAATTAAGTTGCAATTATAATTATTATTACCTTCATATATGGTGATATTTGCTTAGTAATGATTAATTAGTTATATTTTTTTTTCTTTTTTTAAGTCTTGTTAAGTTTGATTAGGGAGTTAGTTTAATTAACATAGTTATGATCTCTTAAACCAGTCCGGTCCTTGTTGATTAATTCCGTTTTATTGTTTTGCTTGAGTTTATAATTTCTAGTCTATATAATATAGAGTAATGTTCGCCTACCCACGGTGGACACATGTTAATATGCTCACAACGTGACATTCACACATTGGCCTAATTTGATGTGTAACCTCCTTTGCATTATGTACTTTGTTTGTTTTCTATTTTCCTTTAAAGATTGGCCTAATGTTGTCAAATAATTGAATCCAAAGTCAACGGCCTATGTATAAATGCATTTCTAATGTGTTGACTTGCAAAAAATCAAGTCTACGTTATAATTAATTAATGGCCCATATGCAATAAAAAAAAAGAATATTTATATTTGTGGCCATCTTTTATATATCTCAAGTCCCAATTGCTGAAATGCAATATTAAAAGAGGTCAAACACAAATTTCAACTTCACACCCTTACAACAAATGAACAAATTGATTTACAAACCAATATTTCTCTATACGGCATTCTTAAAAATCAATTAAAATTTGAATATCCATTAATGTGCAAGCAGACAGAGAACAAAATAAAAAGAAGACTTGAAATACTTTCAAGACTTTGAACATTTTCTAATACATTTTGCACCAAGAAAGAAACTTCCTTTTTTTTTTTTTACTCGGTCCATACCAAACTCTTGTCATGGGACTGACTGTATATCAACTTTCATATTCAACAATTGGCTCAGGCGATTGTTCGGGATCTAATCTCGTAAGCACTTCAGGTAATCCAACTGTATCTCTCGTAATCTGCATTAGTCATCGAGAATGTTACAAAAGCCCCCCCAACACACACAGTGCCCAGTAAGTGATTATGTAGAACTTACCAATATGTCTTCGTCAAGATAGGATATCATGAACAACCTTTCGAATGTCCCAGCTGAGAGGTCACGGAAAATATTTTAAATACCAAAAGCAAAATTGGCGATTGTAAATATAAAATAAAAGTAACACGGCGAAGAAAGAGTTGAAAATGGTACATATATAAGCATTTAAAAATCAACATAATTGAGGATGGTTAAGCTTGGTAAGATAAACATCACTAGCTAAACTATAATGGAAGGTGCAATTTAGCATATATAGTATATAGGTAGCTTGAAAATGCTTACTGAGGGGGACTTTTAATCCACTGGCCACAACATCTGTAATTGGAACAGGAAGCTGCTGCAGACTGCTTGCAGCCCAACCAAAAGCACTTTTTAGTTGCTCTGGTATTGATTCTTGGTTGAGTTTTGGCGTGCCAAATGTCCCTTGCGTATATTCTTCTTTCATCCGAAGAGGGCCCTCGATGTATAGCCTTGTCGAGAGAGTGAAGATACTTTCCATCTGCATATCAGTTTATTAAATATAAGACAATGCACTAACACTTTTTTTTAAAAAAATTATGGTAAATAGGGATCTGCTATTGGTCAAGGATAAAGGGAGCTCTATTGTCAAATTATGCATAAAAGAACATTTAGCTTTTGAAGTCCTTGGAAATTGTCTCGTCTGCTGCATTCTCTCAGCGAAAGTAATAGTTTTAACTTTTAACCATTTCTGTGTGTGAAGAAAACAAACAAGGTTTATAAAACTCGATGATTCAAATATTCAGGCCAGTTTTATTTGAGCCAAGATAACAATATGGTGAGATACAAAGAGTAAAGGCACATAAATTCTGTTACCGAATTCAATAATTCTATGGCTGCAGAAATATTCGCATATCCATCCTTGATCACCACATCCAGTTTTGAAAAATTTGCCAATGTTGGAGGAAAACTCCTGCGGAACATATTTTTTCATTTCCATAATAATGTGAAAGCTTAACAGAAATGTAAACACATTGTGATAGCTGCTGAAAATACAATCGACACTACACGTACACAAAGATAGCGAGGGAGAGAGAGAGAGAGAGAAAGAGTTACCCGAATAAAAGTCGAACAGCATAGAACCCTGGAGTTCCTGATCCGAACCACTCAAACTTCCACTGACCTTCCAAATAAGGAGACCTGAATAGCTGAAAAACACAAAATGAAAAACTTTGTCCGAGAAAGCTTTATTCCGATGAATCTTGACACATTTAAACACACACACACACAAGCGAAAACTATACGTTGTTGGTCTTGGAGTCGGGTTCAGCCTCTCGAGATTAACTATTCTTTCATTAACATCAATACGTTGTACACTTGTAATTTTTCCGGTGACTACTGCCTCAAATCCTCCAGCATCTTTGAACTGAAAAAAAATACACAGTAATTGGGATGTAAAAGTACCTTTAAAAATATTGCATTCCCATATTTGAGTTTTTGCACCTCAATAACATTAATAAGGTATCACAAACAACACTTGCAAACAAGAATCAAAGTGACATTAAGCCATTGTGCCAAAAAATATGCAAAAGATCAAATCTTTGAAGCAATTTAGAGAGCCCACATGAAGCTAAACCAAATTACAGATAAACTTAAGCGTCCAAATTCAACCCATTACTTATTCTCCTTCATAATCTACAACAATCAATAAATAACACTATCAACAACCAAATTACGGTAACATTGAAGAAAAATGAAAAAAAAAAGCACCGCAAGAAGCAAAGATTCCTTGGCGGAGATTGTCTCCATGTCTTTGGCATAAGCAGCTGAGGGCCCTTGCATGGTTTGCACCTCAATGCCTCTGCAATTTATGGGTGTTAAAAACAATTTTTGTAATAGGTTAAGCCTCATGATTAGTTTTGTAAAACCACCCACTATATTGAGCAAATTCATGGACGGATTTATATATTGAGCCAGGCCTCTTATTTATTTATTTTTTTATTAGTTTAAAAAAAATTATTTTTAGCCCAATTCAATAAATCAACCTAGTAACACAACAAAATAATTCACTTATCAATTAAGTCCAGATTACTAATACAACTCTAACGAAATATTATATATTGTTGATCCACTTTTTTCATTATGCACTAACCTACAAAACGTCATTATACACCAAACTCCAATTACACGAATTAACCACGGTCATGTCCTTCCTCTAAAACTGGAACAATGAATTTGGAAGAAATAAAATTCAACAAAAAAGAAACTACTTTCACGAAACGATTTAATTTTTTCATTTAATAGTAAGTTATATTTATTTCATTTGTCTAATTGTCTTTATCTATTTTCTCATTTTAGTTGAACTATTTAGTGTTTTTAATAGTAATTACTAGGATCAAGTTGGTTGCAATTATTGTTTTGTTGATTGTGTATGAAGTTGTAATTTTGTGTGCATGTGTGTTTTAAATCTTTTATCCTCTAATGTGATTGTCGTATATCATAGTTGGATATAATTTATGATGTGTAAACATTTTATTTTTCTATAACTATGTTATAAGAAAGGAAAACACATATGATATCATCGTTCTTTATCAAATTAGTGAAAACGCATCAAATACGGTGCAAAATGAGTATAATGAATCTTTTTTTTTTTTGGTAGAAGCTTGTCGAGCACAATTTCAATGAATATTTAAAGAAAAAATATTATGTGAATTTTATGAAAATTAATTTTTAAAATTATAGTCCAATTTTCTCTTAATTTTTAGATAGGGAAAACTGTTTGTATTTTAAGATTGGTTGGTAATGGTTATCTTCTTCACGTAAATAAGTAGTTGATTCGCTCGAAGTTTGATATGGTCCGAGATCGGTGACTCCGGTCTTGCGGAGGGTTCTTCCCGGTTAT